AAAGCTTTTGAAGTTACGGTTGAGCTTTTCAATATTTCTAACTGTAATTTTGTAATTATCCAATTTATTAAAATTAATTAGAAAATCGTTGATGTTCACGGTGAAGCGTATATGGGCCATATTTTGATTTTACTCATCTTCAGCGCTTATATATATATGTATATATAGATATATGTATATATATATATATATATTTATGTATATATATGTATGTATATAATTGCCATATATATATATATATATATATATATATATATATATATATATATATATATATGAGTACGTGAGTATATAAACGGGGGAAATTTCCGACCTGCTCCGTACTTACGGATATATATATATATATATATATATATATATATATCATCATCATCATGTACGTTTAAAGGCGCTAAACCCGAGGCGGCAGGCACACCTATTATTCGTTCCAGGGTTCGTTGATAAAAACACCGAGTTGGCCTTGTCGCATAACCACGCACATTTAGCCTCTATGCTGGGTCTGTTCTGGCTTCAGACCTAGAGTCCTCATGTCCTTTGACAACGAGGTTGGGTCTGCCACTTTTCCTTAAACCGCCAGATATAATAGTTTTACATTTCTTTACCCAGCCCTCATTTGCTTTCCTCTCCCCATGGGCGAACCATCTTAGTCTAATATCTCTATTTACATCTGACAACTCATCTATTCCCATCCTTTTCTTTATTACCTCATTACTTAGACCACTCCTCAGGGATACTCCCTTTAATTTTTTCACAATCGGTATTTCTGTTCTCTTCAGCCTTCTTAAGTTTTTAGCCGTCAAAGCCCAAGTTTCGCATCCATACAATAGGCAATTTTTTACATATGCTTTTTATACCTTACCCTTCAGACCCAAATTTAACCCCTAGAAGACAGCACTGAAATCATTTCTCTGAATGTTTTCCATTTTACTTTTATTCTATTCTCGACCGCTCTATCCAATTCACCCTCCTCACCTAGATAACAAAAGAACCTCACTCTTTCAAATCCCAAATTTTCCGAGTACCGCTTAGTTATATCTTTCATCCTACATTGTTTACAAACAAATTCCTTGCTTGTATTAACGTCTCCTTTTTTATGTATACATATATATATATATATATATATATATATATATATATATATATATATGTATATACACACACACACACACACATATATATATACATATATATATATATATATATATATATATATATATATAAATTCTACCGAATTGTTGGCATTAATCAATTTAAAGTTTGTCTTTTCAATTTTCCTTACTAGAATTTTCTGGAAATTGTTCAATTTGCTGAAAATATAATTATCTAAGTTTATTATGAAAATTTAATGAAACTGTTGTTATCCGAATTCATCATGCAGATAAGGCCTTATTTCGATTTTTCATAAATCATCTTATCGTATTCTTCATCTTTGTAGTTGTCTTTCCTTTGTTCTTCATTGTTATTGAAGTTAGTATTAAGGCGTCGAGTTGGCAATGATGTTATCATTCTTTGTTTTATGTTTATTTAGAGTTTATTTAGAGTCTCTTAGGGCAGCTTCTGTAATTTTTAGATGTATTGTGTTGGTGTTTTGAAAAATTATTTTTGGGTTTTTGTAAAGAATTTGGCGGGTTATTGAAGTTGCATGTGTTGATTGCAAGTGAGATTTGATGGCTCCTCACTGTGAAACGTCTTAATAGTGAAGTGGTCGTAACACCAATATACGAATGTTGTTAAAGCGCACAGTCGTCAACAGGGCATTTAAATTCATATATTATATGATTACGTTTCAAAGTAGAATCGTCTTTAGGAGTGCAGCTGTTCTTTAAGATCAATTGCGATGTCTTACAATTCTCGTAGTATATCCTGAGTTTTATTTTATTAGTATCATTGATTGGTGTAACATTTGTTTTTATGATTTGTTTGAGGACGACTTCGTCTATTTTTAATGACGTTGACATATGATTTCTGTAATAAAGCATTATGTCGTTGTCATTGTTGTTCTTAAATATATTGCTATCAACAAGATAGGCCTTATCTGCATAATGAATTCGGATCTCAACAGTTTCATTAATTTTTCATGATGAACTTGGATAATTATATTTTCAGCAAATTGAACAATTTCCAAAAAATTCTAGTAAGGAAAATTGAAAAGACAAACTTTAAATTGATTAATACCAACAATTCGGTAGAATTCATACAATACTGTATAAAATATGGTTTCCTTCCAACACATATATCTTTGTTTTCATTGTTGATTAAGCGCCGGTTTGGAAGTGAGGTTGTCATTTTTTGTTGTATATTTATTTTTGGTTTATTGATGTCAATTATGACTGCTTCTGCAATTTTAAGATGCGTGTAGTTGCTGTTCTGGTATATTACTTTGGTGTTACTGTCGAGGATTTCACGGCTAATAGTGATTGAGTTTGTTGAGTCCAAATGAGATTTGATGGCACCACTCTGTTTATGCATCGTAAGCCCTTCTAGTCAATGAGGTAGTAGTAATCCCGATATATGAGTCATGTTGACGTGCACAGCCGTCAAAGGGGTAATTAAATTCATATATATATATATATATATATATATATATATATATATATATATATATATATATATATATATATATATATATATAATATGTTTGCGTGTGTGTATATATACTTGAAGAAAACACTATAAATTAAAAATAATTACTTGATCAGCATCGACGAAAATAATCTTGTTAATATTGAGAGGAAACAGAACATCCAAAAATAAAATTTTGTAGCTGGAAATAAACAATGTTTTGCAATTTATTATAAAAATAAAATTAATTGTGCTAAAATGAAAAAAAATGGCAGTCACCCCCAAATTATTCTTTGTTTCTCCGTTTGTTGATGAAGCCATCTTGGCCATTTATATTGAACTAATTCGTACTCAAACGAGTATTCTTCAGCCATCTTTGGAATGAAATCTTTAAAACTCGGAGATAAATAATTCTTTAGAAACCAAAACTTAACCTTTGATTTCGTGTTTTTCATAACACTGAGAACCATAATTCTTAAAATGATTATTTGCAATGAGCAACATTTTTAGAACTTTTATTAACTTTATACAAAGATTAGAAAAAACCTTAAAAATCTTTCATAAAGATGTCCAGATGCTAATGAAAAGATATTTATTGTTTTGTCTTCTTCATCTGAAGTTTTTGGAGTTGCACTGCTACCCCTCAGAGTGCTGAATTGAATTATAAAGTAAAGAGGAGATGATTAATTATAAAACTTGAATTGATTTATAAATATTAAAAAAGTAGATGAATTAATATTTTTTACCAACAAATCAAATACTTTTTATTGTTTAAAATATAAATAAAATTGAATAAATGCAAAATGCAAGAGAACTAGATGAACTCATTTAAAATAATATTAAACTGATTAAACTACTTTGAAATAGAACCCCAGAGTCCAAAATAATCTTCACTACCATCATCATCGTCGTCCCCAGACAATAAATCTTCAAACTCCTTGCCAGGCTTCTTAGAGACCTTTTAATTTAAATGAGAGAATAAATTCATAGCATCCGCCACTCACATTCACTCTGCAAATACCTTCACCCTGATAATTTTACTTTTGAAGCTGTCCATCACCACCATGATGTCTTTTGCCTCTTCTGGATTTTGTCTGTAATAATCAATCCATAAAGTTGTTTAGAGCGTAAGTAACAAATACAATATATTCGAAAGATAACAAACTTGACGATGTCGTAAAGATCTTTAGATTTGCCTTCTCTTAACCGTAAATACCACAATCCAGGAGAAGCCTTCAATTGAAAATACCCCTAAAAATTAATAAATTTACAATTAAAGTTCAGAATATCAGACTTTTTGGGAAAAAATATAAGTTATTTTGAGGTTTATTTCCTTACTCCCATGTTCAGATTGTTAGAATTAGAAGTTTTGCATTTCATATTTTGTTCCACAATTACAATAATAATAATCTTCCCCACAATGAATGCCTTGTCAATTCTAGAGGGCTGGCGTGTGTTGCTGAAACTTTAGACTATGCCGTCGGGAATATATTCTCGTAGCAGGGACCAGCAGATCAGACGATTTCTTAGTCAGTGGACATGAAACACAACGTCAACATAGAGTTGCAATAGCAGTAAATAAAACTCCAGCTGCAACTCCAGGTTTTCATCCAATTAAAAAAATTGAGCTAATAAAAATCCAATTAATCAATCCTAACATAATACAATGCCCATCAACATTGGTGGATGATGAACAAATTTAAACTTATACGATGAATTAAAGGGGTTATACAAAAAGATGCCACAAAGCGAGGCTGACTTTTTTTTGATTGGAGACTTCAATTTAAAGTAGAAGATAGACCGGGAGAAGGTATATAAGAAATATATGGTTGGGCAAAAAGAATGCAGCAGAAAAACAATTACTAAACTTCTGCACAAGTTATTCTCTCTGAATAACTAACACACACTCCAAGCTCCCCACCCTGACGCCTGCGCACATGGACGTCACCAGGTGGTCTACACAGAAACCAACTAGACTTCAAATTTGGTAAAGAGAGGGGGAGAAGTTCCGTACAGTCAACAAGAACCAAACCTGGAGCAGAGTGTGGGTCTGATCGTGGCTGACATTAAAATAATGTTGAAGAAAAAAAACCAAGGCGCAACGGAATGATAAAATACGATCTAAGTGACATTCCAGTGAAATTCAAGTTAAAGATTTAAATTCGTTTTGCAGTGCTTGAATGAGCAGAAAATGAACCAGAATAGATCTTGGCAGAAATAAAAAATATTATCGTCGAGGAAGCGAGCAAGAAAATATCGCGTAGCAAGAAAAAGCAATGCTTGCAACGGCTTACACAACATACTTTCCGAATTGCAGATGATAGGAAAAAGGAAAAAAGGATTTTAAGAAGCCCAATGCTGAATTTCAAAGAGCTGCAAAGAAGGACAAAGAGTGATGATGAATATAATAAATATTCTTTATTTTGTAAATTATCACTTTCAAATGAATAAAAATAAATGATAAATACAAAAAATGTACCTTGTAAATAAGCATTAAAACAAAAACAGAAAACTGTATAGATTTTAAGTTAATGAATGAATGAATGAATGAATGAATGAATGAATGTATATCTAACAAGGTTAGCCATGACGATTGTATCAACAAGAGCAGGTGTTGAGTTGGTTCCAAGAACGAACTGCAAGCCTCTTGGAGGGTTGCCACTGACAACATCGTAACAATGTCCTTCGGTTTTTAATAATTTCATTATGATTATCATACAGTTTATAATGATGATGAAGGATGCCCCGAGAAAACGCTCACTTGTCAAAAATTGAAATAAAAACAATCATAAACATTCAAAAAAATTTTTATGTAAATGTTAGAAGTTGCTAGGATGATTTAAAGATGCCAAAAATTCGTATCAACTGGGTCAGAAAATAATTACAGCCAAACATGTGAAAATAAGAGCTGCAGGTGGTGGTGAATAACCTA